TCACAGTCCAAATGCAAATTGTTGCTCCAGGAATGGTCTTCAACGGTACCACGGCTCACATTAGAGAGTGAAGTGATTGAATGTGTTGACCACTTCACTTACCTGGGAAGTAGGATCATCCCTGGTGGCTCAGTGGCCGATGAAATCTCTGCACGGATAGAAAGGCTCGATTGGCTTTGCCAATTTACGCCACCTATGGCGCCGCCGTGATATCCGTTTGTCTACTAAGGGTCTCATGTACTACACAGCAGTCTGGTCTGTTTTACTGTATGCCTGTGAAACATGGCCATTGAAGGTGGAAGACATGAGAAGGCAGGCTTCAGGTGTTTGACCACCGTTGCCTTCGTAGTATAGACCGCCTTCCGTGGTGTCACTACGTGAGTAATGCAGAAGTCAGGTATAGAGTTTTAGGGAGTAGAGATAAGTCGGTTGACGAGGTTATTAACCTTCATCGACTGAGATGGTTGGAACACGTACTACATATGCTTAGTGACCGATTGCCTCGTCACACAATGTTAATGTTGGCCGAAGTAGGTTCAGGCTGGAAAAAAGCCGAGGTGGCCAGACTAAAACATGGCATCAATGTATGAAGTCTCTGACTGTTGGTTTGAGCCATGTGGGGGGATGCAGACTGGGTGGTTGGGGTCTGCGGGACAAAAGAAACCAGTGGTTGGAGACTCTAGGTGATAAGGCTCAGAACCGACGTCAGTGGCGCAGGTGCATGCACACACTATTCTCGTCTTAACGACTATACCGAATCTCACCATTTCTGATTGATCACTTCTCTTTGAGTACTTTATATTTCTTTTGACTGAGTTTTCTTTTCTTCATCTTCCACTTCACTGTTTTTTTTACCTGATGTGCTGTTACGAGGTGTGGCAACTCGGACCGTTACGCAGTAATGCCTGGTCCTATGTTGATGATGATGTGGTGACACCACAACACTCGGCTTATGCAACGAATGTAATCGGTGGTCAAAAACCTGAAACCCACTCACGTCTTCTGTCTTTAGTGGGCATGTTTCACAGTCATAGAGGAGAACATAGTGGAGTGCAGCACAGTACTCTGGACCCTTAATAGACAATCGGATGCCGCAGTGGCGCCACAGATGGTGTAAGTTGGCAAGAGCCAACCGTGCCGCGATTTCGTCGACCACTGAGCCATCAGTGCTGATTCGACTCCCCAGGGAAGTGAAGCGTTCAACACACTCAATCACTTCACTCTCTATTGTTAGCTGGGTCACCACTGAAGACCCGTTCTAGAGAAGCAGTTTGTGTTTGGGTGGTGAGAAACGCGTCCCAAATATTCTGAAGTTGCCATTCAAGGTGTGTAGAAGAATCTGGATCTTGTCAGCATCTTCACCTAACATGACTATGTCATCTGCGTATTCTAGATCTACCAAGTATTCTTCTGTGATTAAGTTAATCTGTGTGGGGCCGGATGATGAGAACGATGCCTCCGAAAGAAAATCTATGACCAAAGTGAACAAGAATGAAGAGAGTGAGCACGTTTGACGGACACCACTGGATGTACGTGGCTCACTTGTCAACTCACTATAGTCCCTAAGATGCTCACAGGTGTTTGAGTAAAGAGCCTTCAATAAGGTGATGTACTCACTCGGTACCACTTCAGTGAGAGACATTGGCATAAGACTTTTTGACTGATGGGGTGGGATGTCGCCTTCAGGTCGAGAAATGTAGTCGGTTTTGGTCGTCGGTAAGCGTGCCTGTGTTCTGTGACCTGGTGGAGTGAGAATGTCTGGTCGATACACCGACGGCCAGATGTGAATCCCGCCTGGTTTTCTCGGACTTGTTCTCGAGCTCCACTCAGATTTCTAATGGTTATGGAACCTAGAATCTTGGACACTATGTTTATGAGGTTGATTCCTCTGTGGTTATCCCAAGATAGCTGTTATCTTGACATGGTGGTCGGGGTTGTATATCGCGATGACTCTACGAGCTATACTGATGAAACGCTTATTTCGTCGGGGTCCTACCATACCAGAAAGATCTGTTGGATAGTGTTTAGACAAAATGCAGCTACCGTCTAAACATATCCTTCAGCAAAGAAATTAAATACTATGATGGCTTATATTTGTCATAAGTGGTTAGTGGTGATCCAAAACCAAGGACGTATGTAGCTGTTTACACTGTAATGGTAGCTACGTTTTGTGCAGTCACTATGCAAGAGAACTTTTCGGTATGACAGGTCCTCAGAGGAACAAGTGTTCCACCAGCATAGCTCGTTGGTTTATTGTGATATGCAGGCCTAACCCCCACATGAAGGTATCAGCTATCGGCCAAATCAGTATGTGATCAGACCACATGCAGGCTCTAGTGGGTTCTGTTTTCATGTCTGACTTTCGTGACTAAACGTTTGATGCTTGCGTTTGGTGAAAGTCCTCATTGTCCTTAGCTAATCATCTTTTCGAACTGTTTTATTTACATTACCTCGGTATAATACGGATTAGTTCAGTATCCCAGTACTTGCTAACATACACTATTCAATTCTATGCAGTTAAGGAATGACTTCCACTGTTATACCATTATTTCTATCAAATATTGACACTACTAACAGTAGGAGAAAGATCGCAGTAATAATAACCTTTAGTGCTTTGGAAACTTAACTATTATTTTTAACGCTTCCTTGTTAACAATTCAAGCTACTGAGCCACCTTCGAAGTCTTCTAAGATTCCGCTGTTGATTTCACACTAGTGGTTCCAACGTTCGAACCCCATGCCAAATCAGACCGACGGTATCGCTCGCAGAGATTTGTGATTTGAGCATTGGATGCATACTGTGTTTCTGAGGCATGTATGTGGAACCCTAGTGTGGTTATTCATTTAAACTCACCTCGCCAGTATGTTGAACCTTAAAAATTCACTTTACGAAGGTCTCAGGAATCAATGGTTGACTCGTGAACTTTCTGGTGTAGGCACGGTATTGAGTTGCAGAGCAAATACCAGTCAAAAACAAGCTGTATGCTGTTGCACTGAATGGGTCTGCAAGAACTAGGAAGGATCGTGAGCGTTGCGAATGCCAATTCAAAATCTTTGGCTACGCACCCACCGACTGCAGTTCGAATGATGCAAAGGTTGAATTCTATCAAAAGCTGTCAACTTTGATATGTAAAGCTAAGCATTCAGATGAAGTCATAATAGCAGGTGACTTTAACGCTCAGGTAGGAAAACAGGCAATCAGAAACGCATCATGGAGGTATCTATACGATCCTATGCCAGCAAATCGACAGCTTTGGTCATCTTTTACAGTCTAGTTGTGGCAATCACTTGTTTTTGACCAACACTAACTTCAAGAGTAAGGAATGACACTTGGCGTCTACCGAAATCGAAACAACGATGAATGCCGATGGATCATGTTGCTATAAGCCATCGTTGAAGGATTGTCACTCTTTTTGGAGCGCTTTCCTGGACTCCAATCACATGTTAGTATAAATACTTAGGCATATGTTTGTGGTCTAATGGGGACTGGCAAAAGACAGCAATCGAAGGTGTATACTCAAATGTGTATGTAGAGAGAGGGTGACTAAGGGTTTATATGAACATGCCAGCAATTCTCATGCTGAGGGAGCCTGGCATGATATCCAGTCTGTTGTAAAAACAGCGGTTTGGACAGCTGACTGATGTCCCCGAGACAACAGGAATCATCGGTTGAGGACTCAGAAATGGCTGAAAGTCGACCACAATGGAGCAGATGTATTCACTCTGGTATTTTCTAAAAATGGAATGTTTTGATTGACTCTCATTTTCAAATTCCCTTTTCTCCCATACGCCTTTGCCTACTTTGATATCAGTCTTCCCTACCCACTTGTTGTTTGTATAGTACTGTGAAGTGCAGCTAATTGAACCGATTCACTTGTGTAAGGTTCTACTTTGATTTCGTTTATCTGGGACCGTGTAGCTTCTCAGGACTGGCAGCTAAAATATTAGGCGAAACACTTTGAAGCATAACTCTTGTCCCACATCAACGTTTCAATTGCTCAGCATCCAGCTCAAACGTGACTGAGATGCAGATGTTTGTCCTTAAAGTTGAGAAGACTGTTTCTAACTTGAAACGATGCAAAGCTGTTAGGACCTGTTGGCTTGTCATCCGAAGTATTTAAAGGTCGGAGAAGAGGAGAAACTTGATGAGTAGAGTAACGGAGGTACTGAGTGGTGTATGGGATTCATAGGTATTCCCATCAGACTAGTCTAGATCACTTATCATTCCAGTTTATTGGGAAGGAGAAAAGTCTTCTTGTGATAACCATGGAGGCAGTTAGTTTGAATAACATCGAATGCAAGATTGTGGGGTTAATACTTATCCACGCTTAACGAAGGCTCGCGAACTGCGAACTCAAGAAAACCAGGTATGTTGTAGGTCCGAACAAGGATCCAGTGGTCAGATCTTCGCCACTTGACAGTTTATGAAATAGGTTTATTTACCAGTGGCTGACACGCTAGATTTTTTGACCTGAAGGTGGACTTCTACTCTGTTTTGCGAGAGATATTGTGGCAGTGTTTTACTATGAGGGAAGTACCGGGCAAATGTGTAACGCTAATCAAAGTTCTGCATTCGAACTCACATAGCTCTTTAACGACTTATGAAGAGCTGCTGTTTGAATTGACAGCAACCAGTAATATTCATTAGGAATGCTCACAGACGGCATTGATGTTTTGCCAGAGAAATCAATGGTTGGATGTCATTGGGGATATGACTAGAAATCGGTCACAATGGGACAGACCTACTCATTCTTCGATATCTTTCAAAGTTTGGGCATTTTCACTAACCTTGGTTTTCAAATTCCTTTTCCTGTTATACACTTTCGTCTACTTTGATATCACTTTTTCTACCCATTTGTCCATGGCAAGCTGCTATGAATACTGACAATTCGGGCTGATGCACTTCTGTGCCAGATTTCACGCTGATTTTGTCTGTCTGTCTGCATTTTGTAGATTGTGCACTGGATTTCATAACTTACCTTATTATTTTTCTTTTTCTAGATGCCGCCTGTTGAAGAACAGCAAAGCGATAAACCCATCCAACCGAAAATCGGTATAATATACCCTCCACCTGAGGTGAGAAATATTGTCGACAAAACAGCCAGTTTTGTGGCCCGTAATGGTCCAGACTTCGAATCTCGTATTCGTCAGAATGAAATAAGTAACCCCAAGTTCAATTTCCTGAACCCCGCTGATCCATATCATGCGTACTACCAACATAAGGTTCGGGAGTTCGCTGAAGGAAGGACACCGGAACCTGCTGCTATCAGACTCACTCTTCCTAGTGCTGCTCGTCTTGCTCAAGATACTCCCAAATCTATTCAAGAAACATTCACACCGAAGGATCCGCCAGTCGAGTTTGAGTTTGTTTATGACCCACCATCTATTAATGGGATTGATATTGATATAATAAAACTCACAGCTCAGTTTGTTGCAAGGAATGGTCGACAATTTCTAACTCAACTGATGAATCGCGAACAAAGGAATTATCAGTTTGATTTCCTTCGTGCTCAGCACAGCATGTTTGGTTATTTTACAAAGCTTGTAGAACAGTATACAAAAATTTTAATACCGCCGAAAGATATTGTTTCGAAACTGGATGAAGAGTTGGAGAAACCGAAACGACTCCTTGAGGATGTAAAATATAGAGTTGAGTGGCATAAATATCAAGAACGTCAGCGTAAACGAGAGGAGGAAGCCGCAGAACGGGAACGCGTGGCATATGCTATGATTGACTGGCATGATTTTGTAGTTGTCGAAACAGTTGACTTTCAACCAAACGAAACAGGTAATTTCCCACTACCGACTACCCCTGATGAAGTTGGGCACGTTTACTAGCAGAAGAACGTGGCCTTCAGCCACCATCTAAGCCTTCAGCGCCTCCGCCACCTGGTTCGCTTGGATTAATGCCTACTGATCTAGACGAAGATGATACAAGTGATCAGGAATTAGATGAATCAGAGGATGAAAATGAGGCTCAACGAATCCCTCCGCCTAAGGACCAGGGTGCAAGTGATACTAGTCCTCCACCTTATCACATAGAGACAGAAAATCAGTTGACTGATAATACTCAAACTCCACCTGCTACTAACGCACCTGATTTTTCTGGAGAAGATGATATGGAGTTATCTGATGATGAGAACGTCGTTGAAGAACAATCCTCCCAAAATTATAACCAACCGATCAAGTTACCAGCAAAACAAGTACCATTGTCTTCAGATCAAGTCATTATTCGTCATGACTATGATCCAAAAGCTGCAAGCATTAAAAGAGCTGAAGATTCTGTGCTACTAGTATCACCTTTCACTGGAGAAAAGATCCCCGCAAATCAGGCTCCGAAACATATTAGAGTTGGATTACTTGATCCTAAGTGGGTAGAGCAACGTGATCGAGAAATTCGAGAGAAACGTGAACAAGAACAGGTTTATGCTGCTGGAAATCTTATCGATAGCAGCTTGAAACAGTTGGCTGAGCGCCGTACAGATATTTTTGGTGTAGGTGTTGATGAAATTCAGATTGGAAAGAAATTAGGAGAACAAGAGGCAGTTAAATCTGACAAACTTATTTGGGATGGTTACTCTGCGACTACAGACATCGTTGCCAAAAGAAATTTGGAAGCAATCACTACAAAAGACAAGATAGAGCTACTGGAATTTCAGCAAAAGTTGGAAGCTGCTCGAGATAAAATCGGTCCACAGGGTGGTGTATCCTCTGCTCCAGGCATCATCCCTCCAGCATTGCCTAAACCGGCAATATTGCTTCCACCGCCACCATTGCCAGCTGGGATTGGTGGTACTGTTGCGCAACCACCACCTCCTCCACCTCCTCCCGGCCTTGTGATGCTTTCCAGTGCCCCACCACCGTTACCCCCAGGTTTGTTTCCACCTGGGATGCCACCTCCTCCACCTGGTATCGCTGTTCCAGGTTTCATGCCTCCATGTCCGCCTGTCCCACCTCCTCCACTTCCTCCACCAACACCCGCTGGTGATGGAGAACCGGAAGCTAAAAGACCAAGAGAATAAATAACCACCACTGACAGAATGCACTTTGTTACTAATTTCTGTACCAACTAACCATTACGTCAAATATATTTTCCAAGTTTTATAATTGTGATCCCACAACTTTTTCTGTAGTATTTTTTTGTTCGTTTACTCTGTTCTTGCAGGCCTATGTTATAGGAGATGTCACTTGTTGTTTCTGAGTTCAGCTTATCCCATTTCGTATGTTCGTAAATCAGTTTAGTAGTTTTGGTTATTTGCTGCACTAGAGATATATTTCAGCTGTTAGTTACTTTGTGTTTATCACTTTCACATATTCATACTAGACTTCATGTATACACACATGTGTACCCCTTTTAACAATCGACGTGTTATTCGTCTTTGAGCTTTTCTAGAACTTAAAATGTCGGTTTTTTTTAAGCTGAACGCATACTTTGTTTCATCACCTTTCGCATCAGTCATTTACCTGGTTTTCTGAGTGGTTGGAGCAAGCGAAATGGTGGCCGGTTCATGATATGTTGCTGAGGCATGTCACTTAGTCGTGTTAGGTAGGCGTGTATCGAAGTATCACGGCCTCTTAGATAGAGTATGAGAGATCATATGATTTAAAAGCTTATGATGTTATTAGATATGGTCAATATCAGTAGTGATCATACATCAGTTTCCTTGTTTTATCTATTTAAGGATGGTGGTACCAACATAATGAAAACATTGTAAATTATTAAGATTATGCTTTACGGTCATTGTATAACCATTTATGCATGTTTGTGTTTCGGGATGTGGTAAATGATAAGTATCTGGTCAACACCTAAGGCAGTACCTGAAGCTTACTGTTTTCAGATTTGTAATGCTTACATATTATTTTTGTCTGGAGTATATTTTCACCATTAGTTCTACAAACTCTAGTACTCAGCTTGTTTTATCACCACACATGAGCTACCAACTTAAACGTGCGCTTAGCAGTCTATCACTTCATTTACTGGCTGTTTGGCAATGTTTATAGTCTACGAGTTAAATTTTCATCATATAGTGTTAACTGAGTGTTACTATATCTGAAAATTTCTCACTGATTAGTTAGTGTCCACATAAATGACAACAGACACCATGCGTGTTAACATACACCTAAGAATCACTAAAAAAATGTGAGGCAATTAATAGCTCATACCAGAATCAAATGTAAGCATTACGACACATATCAAAATTGATCGCATTTCAGCTGAAGTTTGGAAAGGTTCTAGTATGGATGCGCAGTTTGCAATAGGGTCAGAATATCTTTGTTTTATTTCATCCTAACATATGCCAATATTTATATTGGTTACCTTTGTCTGATTGTCATAGATTCCGTAATTAATCAGTCATAGGGCCAGACATTCATACCTAACTGTCCAAGTTGCCACACCTCATATCAGCACATCAAGTAACAAAGCAATAAGGTGGAAGGTGGGGAAAGAGAGAAAAATCGATCAACAGTAGTTAGCGAGAGGAAGGAGAAATGAGAAGATGTTGAATTCAGTATAGAGTTTAAGATGCAGGTAAAGTGTGGATACATGTGCGCCACTGACATTGATTCTAAGGCGTATCACCTAGAGTCTCCAACCACTGATTTCTGTTGTCCTGCAGACCCCGACCGGTTAGTCTGCGTCGCCCTACATGGGGTCAAACGAACAGTCAGTCATACAGTGATGCCATCTTTTAGTCTGGCCGTCTCGAGCATTTTTCCAGTCTGAACTTACTTGAACCAACATTTCAGGACGAGACAAATGATGACTAGGTAGACATGCGTAATGCATGTCCCAGTCATCTCAGTTGATGAAGGTTCACAACTACATCAACTGATTTACCTCTCTTCCCTGAAACTCTACACCTGACTGCTGGAGTTACTGATGTGGTGACACCACGACACTCGGCTTATGCAACGAATGTAATCGGTGGTCAAAAACCTGAAACCCACTCACGTCTTCTGTCTTTAGTGGGCATGTTTCACAGTCATAGAGGAGAACATAGTGGAGTGCAGCACAATACTCTGGACCCTTAATAGACAGTCGGATGCCGCAGTGGCGCCACAGATGGTGTAAGTTGGCAAGAGCCAACCGTGCCGCGATTTCGTCGACCACTGAGCCATCAAGTGCTGATTCGACTCCCCAGGGAAGTGAAGCGTTCAACACACTCAATCACTTCACTCTCTATTGTTAGCTGGGTCACCACTGAAGACCCGTTCTAGAGAAGCAGTTTGTGTTTGGGTGGTGAGAAACGCGTCCCAAATATTCTGAAGTTGCCATTCAAGGTGTGTAGAAGAATCTGGATCTTGTCAGCGTCTTCACCTAACATGACTATGTCATCTGCGTATTCTAGATCTACCAAGTATTCTTCTGTGATTAAGTTAATCTGTGTGGGGCCGGATGATGAGAACGATGCCTCCGAAAGAAAATCTATCACCAAAGTGTTTTGATAGTCTTTCCAATCATCTCCTTTGGGAGTGGTTTACTGACCCATTCTTCTCCCCTGTCTTTGTACTAACGATTGACCTTTTCGGTCCAGTTCCATTGATAAGCTAAATAACTCTATTACTAGCTATCGCCACTGCCTTTTCGATCTTTTTAGCTTTAACGACGCTACACAATTTGCGATCATTGCATAGACGTTTTGTTAGTATACGTTTGATTTGCATTCGCTACTGATTGTATTCGAAGCCTGCAGAGATAGCTTTGCATGCATCGTTTATTCAGAAGAAGCTTCTTTTGACCACTCTCCTAGTGACAGCTACTGTCTTCAACGCTGTTTTTGCAGCACACTAAAGATGTCATCAAGCTTCATGCGGATGAATAATGTTTTTTTATCCCGATAGCTGACTAGCCAGTTTCTTAGTGAAAGCATCCTTGGTTCTGTCATTTTCGAGCTGCAGTGGTAATGATCTACCAACAATTTTCACCTTGTCAAACTCCTTGCCTTCCTAGATATTCCTGCTGTCTTAGTTTATTACTCAACTACTTAGTACTAGGTTAATGATGTAATTATACCCTGTTGTTTTATAATAGACTGTTATATGTTTATGATATATATAAATACAATTGTACAGCTTTAGGTAATGGTTTTATCGGCAAAGTTCGTCTACGTTCATTTGAACGCAAACGTTCATGCATTAGAACCAACGCGTGGTTACTGTCCAAAGACATGATCTAGAAAGGAGCGGCAGTCTTCCACCAGACAGATAGACAAAATGAACGTACAACCTCGCACACGAGCACATTGGCTCAAGTTGCCACACTTCTCAGTAGTAAACAAAGAAAATGTGAACGGAAAAAGAGTGATATCAGAGAAGATAAAGTAGTGTGAGAGAATAAACATTCTGAGGATAAAGGTCAGTGCGGATATTCAAGCTTTAGACGATTCTAAGGAGTGAATACATCTGCACGATTATGATCGGTTTCCAGCCATGTTGCCAAAATTCCTCAATCACATCCCTTTCGTCTCGGGGACGAAAGGAATGCAGACTATCTATGTCCACTGCTGAGTTGAGGTCAGTGGACGGCACGTCAGATAATGTCTGTCTCTCTCTCTTGTACTGGCTCAAAATAAACGGTTATCTGAGTACAGTTGTATTAGGCTGTTGCCGTTATTTGTTCGTTCGGCTGGGATTCCGAAAGTGCCACCTTAGTTTCTCTCTGCCTAACGAAGCCTGCCCATTCGTGCATTGAAATCACCTGCAACAACTATCACATTTGAGTGCCTGACTTCTATTAGAACTCATCTGAAGTGCAGTCAGTGGGTGCGTAAATAGAGATTAGAAAGAAAAAACGGCGAGTTTCACGATTCTTTTGTGTTTTCACTGTGCCATTCAGTCGAACAGCACACAGGCTACTGTTAACTGGGAACCAGTCGAGTAGTGAACCTTGTTGGCCTACTTGTCGGAGGGTCCGGACATTGAAAGCTCTAATATGTAACTAAAAAGGTGGTTTCAGCAAGCCAGCGGTGCCGTTCTGTGAACTCAGATCTCTGTCGAGAGCTGCAGAGCTGGAAGAAATTCAAGATGATGTAGGATAATTGACTGAAAGACATGAAGTTAGATTAGAAGGTAAGAATGCGGGAGGTGCACAGTGGTCTAAGGGAGCCTAAGTTGTGTGGGTGGTTGACACTCTCCGGCTACCCACACCGTGGAGGGCTAGGTCTTCGTGAATTATCTGAAAAAGAAGGGTTAGTCCGTGATCACAGAACCCAAGAGACATCTGCTTGAGGCCGGTTATTCACGGCCTTTTTGCAAGCTTGAGATTTTGGTTTGGACTCCGACTATGAACGCTTGCCGCTGGTACCGATATGACGTGGTTCAGAGGGAAATGTGCTATTTTTGAGGCCCACCTCTTCTAATCCATCCCTTCCCTATGGGAAGGGAGAATCAGCGTGGCATTGTTGGTCATTTAAGGGAGACATCCTACTGCAGTCATACTCCATAAAGCCAGCAGTATGACGTTGACCTCAGACCTCATCGTAGCGCAGCAATTTACACTAATGGTAACTGGTTTTTGTATAACCACTATCCAACAGACTTTTCTGATGTGGTAGGGCTTCAAGGGAACAGGGATCCCACCAGCATAGTTCGTTGGGTCATTGTGATATACATGCTTAGCGGTTATCGTCGGGAGTTTATGGGAACCGTTTATGATATATTTTGGATTGTAAGCTAAATACGTCCTTTCATTTTACAACTGATCAACTGTGATGATGCAAGCGTAAATTGGATTCCTCTTACCGTAAGGTTCAGCATTCTTATTGGCGTTCACAATATAGGTATGAAGCATTTAGTAATATATGTTTCATTACTGATCGCGTCTTGTTTATCGCTACTTTGGTAACCCATGAAATCATTTCCATATGTCTCCTAACTCGTACTAGACTGTGTGTACTTCTTTATAAATGTTTGCACAGTAGATTACATTGTAGAATGATCATCATCATCATCATCATTATCAACATAGGACCAGGCATTACTGCGTAACGGTCCGAGTTGCCACACCTCATATCAGCACATC